TCATCATTTAATTAACTAGTTTTTCTTAATTATTAGTTTATTAAATAATGAACTAAATTTAAAAATCTGATTAATTCAAATGATGTAGTTGCCCACATTAAATGCCACCTAAGATGGTATGAACATGTGGTATAAAAACATGGTATGAAGCATTTAAGAGTCGTCATTGCTTCATTTCCCAGCAGCACATCGCAAAGCATTCATAGACCTACAGCATAATATCACCCTTCCTGCAGTACGAAAATCCCCAGCCTTTGATACCATGTATTCTCTGCTTTTTATGAATTTATGACCTGGTGTTGTTGTAGATCTAAAATCATCTTTATATGCTGCATGAGTACCTGAAATATCACCAAAATTATGAGCAGTACTGTGAGGTGTATCCTGGGACTAGCACTGTGGTGATGGGAAGCGAGTTGGCTGACTTGCTCTCCCAATTCTCTTATGGGGTTGGCTTCGATTGTTTTGATCTACTCTTTGTTCTTTGGCAAAAGCGACCTACCTTCAATGCATGCAATTAGGGCAAGAAGAATAGCACATATAGCCTAAATATGCTATTCTTCTTGCCTTGAAGCTAAATGTGCTATTCTTCTTGCCCTAATTGCATGCTCAGTTGTAAAAGTAAATGTTCTTAGTCACTTGAGCTATGAAAAAAATATTAATATACTGATGGTTTTTTCTGAATACTTCGGAATTACAAGGCTGAGGGAAAGTACTCAAATTGCAGGAGAGAACTGGAAGGAATGGAAGATGCAGAAGCAAACACTTGGTGGGTATTTATAATCTTGGCAAAGTATGCCCTGTTAAGATCCTAACCTCCACTTTAATTGAAAAAAAAAAGTAAAGAAAAAAAATCAATTTGCATGGTTCCTCCCATAATTAGGAGATTAGTGCATGTTTTGGCATTTCTCAAAGATCTTTCTCATCTCCATAATTTGCTAGTCCACTATTGCTACTTCTCTCTTTTCTAAGCTTACGCATCTCTTAACGATATAAAACAATATTACCATAATTTGATTTGCTTAAAGAGGTGGAAAACTGGGATGAACTTCTCTGGTATATGGTTGATTGAATGTTCGGTGCTGTTTAGTATGAGTGTAACAATATTTTATTAAATCTGAAATATAAGTATAAATTTATAACGCATTTAACGCATTAATTAACTGGATAGTGTCTGCTATTCAAGTTTCCTAGTGACATGAAAGTGTTTACCAACACCAAACTTTAACGCTTAAGATATATTTTTCAGATGTGTACTTTTCATTTTATAAATCCTAGAGTCGTCCTTGCTTGATCTTTAATTGTTCTCAAGTGATGCTTTATTGTTTGAACATTGCAGGGCAGTTTACCTAATTATCAATGAAATTTAGGAAAGTTTATAGGGTACTTAAAGCGCTAGGGTGATTAGTTTAGGATGAATAAAGCAAGCTAAGTTGGCCTCCTCCACCACCGAAAGGCACGAAGCCTTAGAGATTCTTGTGCCAAGGTGATTAGGGTGAATAAAACAAGTTAAGTTGGCCTCCCCCCTCCACCACCGAAATGCACCAAGCATTAGAGATTCTCGTCTACTATCCTACTTGTTATATGTATAATATAATATGTATATATACCGGTCCTGTAAGGGAAGAGTCATTTTTTTTCTTCAAAAAATAGGGATTAGTTGTGGAATTCATTATACATCGAACTTCTACGATTTGAACTCTCTATTTTGTAAGTCTCAATTCATAGATCATCTTTGCAAAAATTCAATTCAATCTTAAACCATTTGCGTGTATTTAATTATCACATGAAGTTTTATTATTTCTTATAGAACAAAGTTTTTGTCAATTTCTTTGAACTCAATTAGATATATTTTCGATTTGGCTAATATTTTACAAAGATGATCTAAGAAGTGGAATTAAAAAAATAGACGGTTCGGATCATTAAAGTTTAATATGGTGTAGACCACACAACTAATCCTAATTTTTTAAATATGGGATCCCTTCTCTTTTAAGTCCTCTATATATGTGGATGGTTATAACTACTTGTACAAGCGTAATTACAACACTTTGGTCCACAAAATTCAACTGAAGCACATATGTCCTTACTCTAATCAGGTTTGAATTTATTTGTTTATGGTAATGTACAAAACTTTCTAGAGGGTTTAATGTTTAAATACAGCCTGTTGATTTCTATCACTTGATCTTTTTAATTCCAAATCACTGTAATCTGTTGTTGCGTTGGTGTATTTAAGAAATAATTTGCGACTGACTGCCACTAACTCACAAAAGCTATTTGTGGATAGTAAATGGGTGGTTGCAATCAATAAGACCAGAAATTTAACCCAACTTGATAAGAACTTTTGCTTTTGAGAGGTAATTATCAACTTTTATATGCAACCATTTGAGTCCGACAAATGAATATTATATAAATATTAGTTTGAGTTCCAAAAGTTTGCTCTAACTTAATATGTGTGGCTAACAGGCTCCAAGAAAGAAAGAAAGAAAACAGAGCCTAACCTCACCAGTTACAATCAATTATCATTCTTGAGATGAATTTCAAGGAATTAGAGTTTGACTTAACCATAGAAAATTATATCATGTACATTTTGCTTAAGTTTTATTGAGTACGACATTGCTTATGTAGTGAGAATTTTAACTTGAATGTGAGAGAATTTGTATATACACAACTTATTTCAACAGATACGTATTTTGTGTGATGATTTGTTGGGTATATATGTTAGAATGTGAGTTTGACAATAAGATTTAAACCCGGTTATAATGTTCAAATTGGTACGTAAAAGTTTACTAGAAAAGATGATGATCGTTACTTTGTTTAGGATTGAAACTCAATATGAATACTGCACCTTACACTCGAAATTGGACAAGAACATCAATTGCAGTTTCTTATGTTGATTCTAATATAAACACAACATGAAATGAACTAATATATGGTTCGTTTGAGTGTTTTTAAAATACCTGAAACAGTTTCTGGTGAAATTGATTTTGAGTTCGAAAGCATTTAAATGCTTTTTGAAATAAGTACTAGATACTTGCTTCCTTCAGGAAGCACTTAAAGTACTTTTGCAGGATCTACTTGGATTTTTACTAATAATTGATTTCAAAAATATTTTCATCAAAAGCTTTCAGTTATTTTGATACCGTTTGGTACGTGAGACGGGACCGAACCCAGTTGGACGAGCCATTTTATCCCACGATTGGTGTGCCAATTTGACTGGAACGCGTTGTCCCGTGGAACAAATTTTAGCAATTTTTTGGTTCCACCTTACCCCTTTGGAACAACTTGTTCCAGCCCACGGGATACAAATTTATAATTTATTGGACAACAATACCCCTCTTCTTTTTCATTAATTCCACTGTCTATCCCTCCCTCTTTCTCTCGTACCCTCCCTCTCTTCTACCCAAGGTTAAAATATCGATATTATTGACGATATTTTGCCGATAATATCATTTTTTTTAGAGAACGATATTTTCACACTTATCCATTTAATTATCGTCAATATATCGATATTTTTGTCGATATAATATCGGAAACGATATTTTCATAATTTTAATGCATTAATTGGGAAATATATCGCGATATTATCAATAATATCGATAATATCGCGAGATGAATCCCAAACCGCTCTACACAGCCACATCCAGACAAGCAGTAACCGCTACCTCAAACCCTGAGCGCAAATTCGAAGGCCAGAGCGGCGACGACGGCGACGAGGGTGGATACGAATGAGGGGGAGATGGATGCGGCGGGGGAGGTTGGGGGGAGCCGGAGACTCCTGGGAGGCGCCGATGGCAGAGAGGACGGCGAAGAGGACCACCATGAGAGCGACGACGGAGGATGCCTTTGAGACTGCCATTGTTGATAGGGTTTGGACCTTTCTGTTCGTTCGGGAATCTAGGGTTTTTGAAGACTCAGAGAGACTGAAAGCACAAAGTGGCGCAAGTTGGATTTGAGATCCAATTTTGAGGTTCTTAAAGTGAAAGGGCGAAAAAGAACGAAGATGAGGGTAGAGAGAGTGCCGAGAGAGACAGAGAGATTGAGAGACTAAAAGATTCAATTTTGAGTTTCTAAAAGGGCAAGGAAAGAAGAAGAAACAAAATTTTCTTCTTGGGTTTCTGAAAGGTCAAAAGTTGGTGATGGGTGGTGATGTGAAAGAGGTAAGGTGGACAGCTACTTTCATCATATGGTCTATTATGAAAACCACCCACTTGCATGGGTGTGGGCTTTTTATATTTTAAAAGTTTGGGAGGTATATTATATTATTATATGTATATAAATGTTATATAAATTATAAATTATTAGATATTTTTTTCCTATGCAAGCATATTAGATATGTACATAAAACATTCACATATGTATGTTCTTTTATAAGAAATAACATATTATTCAATAATTATTTACATCTGATATAGTAAATTTAATTAATTCATATAATATATAAGAAATTTACCTAAATCCGCCTAGGCCGCTTAGGTGCTCGCCTAGATCCCGCCTAGCTGCCTAGGTGTTAGGCGCCAGCCCATCGCCCGACCGACTTAGAGCCTTGGTATTTATAGCTGGGGTTTTTTGTGGGGAGTGGCGGGTAGGTCGGGCAGCTACCCGTTAGAAACAGGCTGGCCAATTGTTATTGGTTCGGCGCAACAGCTCACATTGCTTAATCCATTGCTTAAATGAGTGTAAGATATTGTACTAATTCATTTTATATAAATGATTATGGTGTGTTTAAACTTCTTTCATTAATTACTACATATTTTCTACACTCACAGTGTTTGCCAGTTTGCTATATAATCAACTTAAGTTAGTTAAATCCATCATGCAATGCATTTCCTTCCAATTTTTTGTGATAAACTAATAGATAATTGGCTAAATAAAAATCCTGCAAAGGTTCAATAAAATTTCCAAGTTTTTCTTACAATTTCCGTGGTTTTTATTCAATTTTTATCGATATCAATAATATCCCGATATTTCCATCGAAATTTCCGTATTTTTGGACTACCGATATTTCCGATATCATCGATATTTTAAACCTTGCTTCTACCCTCCCTCTCTCCTGTAGCCTCATCCTCCTCCACCACAAAACCAGCAACCCAACTATGGCTAACCCAAACCCAGCTTATTCTCGACGCCTTCCTCCCTGCTAGTCCCACGACGAGACCGTCGCCAGCGATGCCCAGGACTCGCATCGCAAAGAGGAGACCAAGGTCGTTGTTGACGATGTCGAAGCTCCTCCACCGTCGCCGGTTCAGTCCCTCCGCGCTCCACCTTATTCTCCGACCCTGCAGAAATTGATTGAAATGAATTTGCAGATCGGACGAAGCCTCTGTAAATGGGGGAAAAAAAAAACCAATTTGGGATTTTTCTGTGTTTGGTTTTATTTATTTTTTGTTATTTAAACATCAACAGAATCTTAACTATCATTGCACCCGAAGAAAATTTAAGTCAATTTGGGTGAGGCATGCCTACCCAAACCTAGATGAGTTAAATTAAACACCAAAACCTCAGGTATGTCATAATTAAATTCAAAGCCAAAACGCGGAGAAGGGCAAGCTCAAACTTGAGATCCTTGAGCTGGGCCAAAAGGTCAGGCTTTGTCTTGTGCCTCAGGTCATGTACCTTGATTCTCACCATTGCTGCTGCGGGTGTGCGAGCTCTGCAACGGCGGCTTTCTCTTTAGCTTGACGGGAAAATGAAACCCTAAACTATTGGTTTGAATAGAAGGAAATTAAAAGAAGAGAAATATGGGTTTGAATTGAAGAGACAAAAATGAAATGAAGAGAAAGTATGGGTTTGATTTACTGAGTTTGATTTTTACTGGGATCAATCTGGGCATGCAAAGAACAAGAAACATATGAAGAAGTGAATGTAAGAGACATGGGAGAAAGAGAGAGTCAAATAAAAAGGGTAAGTTAGTCATTTAATCTCGTTCCGTCCCGTTCCATCTTGCGCGTACCAAACATGACACGAAATCTTTGTTCTATCCCGTTCCACCCCGTCCCATTCCATCTCCTTCCGTCCTGTCCGCGTACCAAACGATACCTTTAAAAACACTTCCAAACGAGCCCAAGAATAGTGATCTATGCTGTTACAAAAATATGCTTAATTTTTACCTATTATTAGTTTAACCATTGAACTTCGACTTCCAAATTATTATAAGATGTATGTTTGCACGTTTGTGATTCCATAAAATAGTGCAAGTCTGCAGTTCTAGGATTAGTTACAATGTGCGGTTACAGAAATAGTGCAAGTCTGCAGTTATCGGATTTGCCTTTCAACCCTACTTTGGGCCACCTGAGATGCCTACAAATCATTCAAGCAAAAGCAATCCAATGCTAAAGCCCAATACGAATAGTTGACACCTCGCCATCCCCTTCAGTCTAGCTCATGACAGGAAGTACCCAAACGAAACCAGAATGCTCAACTCCCGACTCCTTGAGAGGTTCTCAGGTGTTACCGATTGTATACAAGCATGCACCTATCTCACTTGCCATGATGAGAGAGATGCAAATGATTGTACAAAACTGATGAGTAGGGAAAATTCCCTCCAATGCTAGAATGTTTTATTCTTTACCACAACTGAACAGATCATATTAGTAACAAAGTACAAGGTTATTAGGGTTTATGACCGCTAAACTAAATATTCAAGAGTCGTCACACACATTCCTTCATTTTCCATATTCACATCATCGCAAAGCATTGATAGATCTTCGGCAACATGTTGAGTATTGAGTCAAATTATGCATTGAGAATTTGAGAAAATAGACATTTAGCAAATCGATAGATAATGTATACAATCTAAAAAACTCAACCATCGGTTAAAATTTAAAATTTCACGTCAGTTTCATGAACGAAAAGACTTCTTAAGATAGCGGAGGATGGTCCACATGAATGTGGAAATAAAGAAGAGGACAATACCAGAAACAATTGCGTATTTGAGGCCAAGGTTCACCAGCAAGTTTACCAGAAGCCCGGCCAGTACAACACCAAAGAAATTTGCAGACAATGCTGACCAGAATGGCATGTCGAGAATTGAAGCTATGATGGCCCCTGTCCATGCTCCTGTTCCGGGGAAAGGCACAGCCACAAAAAGCATCAGACCAAGCCACTGGAACTCCTCTACGGGGCCAGCCTTCTCTTTAGCCCTCACAAATAGCAAGTTAAGGAACTGAGCTGCGGCCTTGTTCTTTCCAGCAAGGAACGATGCAAACCTCTTCAAGTAAAGTATGATGAAGGGCACAGGAACCATGTTCCTACATATACATAGTCCCAAACTCTGTCAATTCCTAGACTCTCTTACTTCGTGAATTTTAATGAAAAACTTGTAGATCACAAAAATATCACATTGGACACCACAATGCCATAGCTAGTGCAGAAAGGTAAAATGCTAAAACTTGAAGCACCCTTTTGATGGAATGGGCAAAAGGCAATAGACATTACGAATGTCAGGATTTCAGACAGACATTCTAGCGGCCCACTTTTAATAACACCGATAGCAGTGGAACCATTCACTATGTATTGTATTTCATTTTGTCAATTTACCGATGTGGGACGTTTTACATTCTTCATCGAGAACAAAATACGAAGCAATCATTAAAGGCAACATTGTAACTTGTCAAACAACATTGGTGAAACAAATCCCAACAAAACTCATGTAGAATTTAAAAAGTGCTGATTGGCTATAGTAGAGAAAAAAGACTAACCCAAGAACGGATAGAACTGTTAGCAGAACAGGCTTAAGTTGCAACCAGTAACCAACAGGAATAGCCCCACGAAGCTCAATGACCGGAAGTGTGGCAAGAGCAAACACCACAGCCTCATCAGGCCAGCCGGAGCTTCGAAGCACCGTCGCAATCTTCAAGCCAAAGTTGGAGGCTCTAATGGAATCAGCCGCCGCCGCAGCAGCAGCATTTGCATCCCCGGAAGCCGCGAACCAGGCAAGCGACACAGATGCCCAGATCAAAACCCAGAAGGCAAATTTGACCGGCCGCTCCTCAAACAACGGCAAAAGTTCATCTTCCTCGTCTGTTTCAGGAAACCCACGTGAGGAAACTCCCGTTGCAGCGCGAGCGAGGGGTGAAATCGCAAAAAAGGGATTTGATTTGGGCAAAGTTTGAAACTTAAAGTCTGCATTGGGGCTGAAAGGGGGTTGTTTGATCCGGGTAATGATTGGGCGGCCAATTTTTGGTGAAAATACGAAGTGGGCTTTTCTGAGAGACAAAATTGACGTCAATGGCGATGGGGATGCTGATAGAGATGCAGCCATTGCTGCAGAGTTCGACTGATAGAACCCAAAAGATTGTGGCTTTCGAACTGAGGCAAGGTTTTAGGGGTTTCTGTTGGGGAGTTAAGCTCTTTGAGTGAGGATTTTACTGCGTCCAGGCAGGGATTTATAGACACCCATCCGAATGTCCGAAAGTGGGTGGAAATTGTAGGGTGGTTTTATTTAAAGTATGGGGTTTTATAAAGAAATTTCCGGAATTGGCCAAGGTTTCGAGTTAGCATCGGGGGTTGAACGGCACAAGGGAACAAGTGTGGAGGAATTAACGAGGTTCCGGTGGAGTTAAAAGTTATGCATTGCAGGGGTGGGAAAGCAACAAATAAATTGGTCCAATTTTCTCTCAACAAAGACAATCGGAGTTGACTTTGTTATCGCATCCCCTTCCATTTTTAGGTAAAGTTATGTGCGGGTTAGGTCTGGTTTGGTATTGTTGTGCTTTGAAAAAAAGTTGCTGTAAAAATAAACGGCTATGAAATAAATCAGCAGAGTGTTTGGTAAACTTTTTTGTAAAAGTGCTTTTGGAAGAAAAAGCAGTCTGATAGTGGGTTTTTTCATTAAAGGAGCATTGCAGCTCCGTGTGCTTTAAAAAAAAAACCAGTTTTCCAAAGCTGCAAATAGCAGCTTCAGCTTTTTCCTTTGATTTCAGCTTATTCTCACAGCAGCTTCCAAAATAAGCTTTTTTTTTCAGTTTACCAAACACCTAAAACCCTCACAGCTTTTTTTCATGGATGTTTTTTTTTAAGCACCTCACTCCTAAACCACCCTTTAGTATTACGGTATTCCTTTTCAATCATTAGTAAGATAGTTTAAGCTTGATTTTCATTAAAAATGAATTTGACTCAAAATAAGGAGGCCATAGAGACTTGTTTTATTCATTTGTCTCAAATTTCGTGAAGAACTCCATTCCCTCTCCCTCGTTACGAACAAAAAAATAATGATGATCACCATTGTTTTAGTGTAGATAATATCGTTTATTAAAAAAAACAAATAAATAGAAATGATACACATTTCTTGCATTATAAGAAATGACCCCCATTCCCTAGAGTTGATTTTTCACACCTATATTTTTTCACGCACACTCTTGTTACAAACTACAACAGATCAAAAGAAATAGTTGGTTGTTTTTCATTTTTCTTACGAAATACAATATTACAAAAACTTCTTCATTTTCTTACGAATAAAATATCACCAAAACTGTGTGTGTATGTGATACAACCCATGATATATTGATATAAGGTATTGTTGGAGGAGTTTTTTAGTGTGCCGAAACACTTATCAGTACACTAACTGTAATATATAATTGATTGCATATTTAAAAATAAAAGTCTAACTGATTGTATTATAATACTTAATGTATTGCTTTGTTTCGGAAACTGAAAATTTTATTAGAATTGTAGTGACTATAATTGTGGTCACCAATAGTCAACCCACATATACGGTCAAATTACGAACTCACATTTCACTCTATCGCAACATCTAAACGAAACAACACCATGAGCCGGAAGAGAGATAAACCCTACTTCTCCCGCCACGCCCCCTACTCCGGGTCCAAACGCCGCCGTCCCCTGCCTCCTCATCCGGAACCCGAAACTGAGCATGACTAGCCGACTTACAAGCAACCGCCGCTGCCGGCTCTAGTGGTAACAGGTCTCACACCGGACTGCTCTGTCCTGGACCTCAAGTCCCGTTTCGAGATCTATGGACCCATCTCCCGCATCCACATTCACCGGGACGCGGTCGGTTACGTCACCTACCGCTACGCCGACTCTGCTCAAGCCGCCATCGCCGCCTCCCTCGTCCCGTCATTCGGCATCACAATCGAATCCAAAAAAGTACTAATCTTTCGCTTCAATTTCCCCAAAGAAGCTTTCTTTTTACTATTTAATTTCTGGGCTTTCGTATTTCTGTTGAAATTTGGGGCTTTTGCTGCAGTTGCAGGTGCTTTGGGCGACGGACCCGTGATGGGTCGTCGGCAAGTTCGAATCTTGTGAGGGCTGAGGTGCCGCTGAGGGGGCGGCGCAGAGGGAACAAGCTTGCTTCTTAAATAGTGAACCCCAGAGGCGGCGGCGCTGCTGGTGTTGATAGTTCTTCGTCGGCGTTGGATGCACCTTCTAAACCTAGAGAAATCGTTGCATACGATGATATTCTGGAAAACTATTAGCTGCGTTTTGGGATTTGGAGGGTTTAGTTTTGTAAATTGAGCAATGGGTTTAGTTCATAGACATAGGATTATGGAAGAATCTGTAGTGGGTATGAAGTTGGTTGAGTTAGCAGCCATGTTGTGAACGTTGTTGTAGGGTTTTGGACCCATCCGGATCCTAACGGTGGAGATTTTGGATACATCTCATTTTACTTGTCACAGATCCTTGATAATTTTTATCCGTTGATCTTCTTTAATTCATCTGATTCGAAGGTCGAAAATTAAAAAAGTGTGTAAGAAGTAACATGGAGTGTGTAGATATCACACCCCTTTTGGAAATTTTCATATCGTAATATTCATTGTACATCGTGCAGTCAGAAATGATTTGAATATTTTTATTTAAAATCAAACATAAATAGTACTGAATAAAAACTAACCGTATGGTATTCAATAAACGATTAAGATGTAAAAATTTTTAGGATCTCTACAAAGAAGAACCGAGAATCCGAAGAGAATCCTCATCCGTTGTTGTAGGAGGCCGTGCATATCTTGGAAGAAAATTTTTACGGGTCTATCCAAGCCCAAGATGCTTGAGTCGGAGCCCAAAGAGCCCAAACGATGAGAAATTTAATAGAATCACAGAAAGCAGAAGTCATTGAGAAGGAAGAGCATCAGGGCACCGTAGTAATGGAAGAGAGTGAAGAAAGCAGAGTAGCAAAGCACGACGAAGAAGGAAGCAGCGAGCAACAGATATGGAGTTGGGGGGCAGGAACGGACGGGCAACTGGGCACGGGCAGGCTACAGGACGAGCACCTCCCTCAGCTGCTTCGCCTCCCTTCTCTCTCCCCCGCCGCCGGATCCATCTGCTCCCTTGCCTGCGGCGGTGCTCACGTTCTCGCCTTAACCTCAGGTCTCATCCTTTCCTTCTCCGAATACTATAAAACTTACAAAATTTCTTCCTTCTTAGAAAAAACAAACATCTGTTGCAGGTGGGAAGGTGCTGACATGGGGAAGGGGTACGTCTGGTCAACTGGGTCATCCTGATACGGTCAACAGTCCAAATCCTAAGTTTGTAATGTCTTTGAACAACCTCTTCATTACTCATGCTTCTGCTGGTTGGAACCACTCCGGTTTTGTTTCAGGTACATTCTGGCAGTTGATATGTTTCACACTAGCGGTATTCTACTTTGCTCTAACCAATGTGGCTATGCCGACGTCCGCTCTCAGGCAGTTGATATTTGACATTCTGTGGTGGAATATGTTAGTGAATCTCTGATAATTTTACGCCTGTTTGTATCCGTCTCGAATCGAAAACCAAGTTAGATTTTGCCCAATAGTCGAATTTTTCTTCTTTTGCTGCGTTGTGTTTAAAACTTGGTGGCAACTTGAAGTGTGGGGCTTCTTGACTTATTTCTGGTTCTCGGAATTTTCTCGCTTGTTTTCAGATGCAGGAGATCTTTTCACGTGCGGAGATGGCTCGTTTGGTCAGCTCGGGCATGGTGATTTCCAGTCGCATTGCTATCCTGTCAAAGTCTCCTTCTTTGTTGATAAGCACGTGGAGCAGATAGCATGCGGGATGCGCCATTCGCTTGTTTTGGTGAAAGGTAATTTGTAAGGTTGATCTTGTATATGTCCTGCTGACCCGAGCTTTAAGGTAGAGATGCTGATTTATATGATGTATATGCTTTACGACATGCTTAAAGCTTTGCATTTTTGTATTACAACATGAAGGATATCCATTTATTCAATATTTATCCTATTAGTTCAAGTGTATGATGTTTCTCAAATCAAGTATATTGCTGGTGTTTCAGGAGATGAAGTTTATGCGTTTGGTTCGGGGAAGCGTGGTCAACTGGGTATCTCTGAGGATAAGATCAAATTAGTTAATATTCCTGAACGAATTCATGGATTTGACAGCGTAAAAATCACTAGCATCGCTGCAAATGGAGATCATAGTGCTGCGTTATCTGGTGAGGCCAACAGACTTACTCTTTCTTGATTTGGTCGTATAACACAGATGATATTGCTTCTAACATGGATGCCGAGCTTTGAAATCTTCCAGTCCATTTAAAAGCTAAGAACTTTCCATGCCAGCCACGCTCCAATTGAACGCTATTCGCCTCAGTAATTTAGTTTTCTGATTGCCGTTTTCTTTTCTTGCCTATGACATTAGCTGATGGGCATTTGTACACTTGGGGAAGAGGGTTCGGCATCTCAAGCGCTCACTCCCCACAGCGTTTATCTACATCGTTCTTGTTTACCAAAGTTGCTGTTGGATGGAATCATTCTTTGGTATTGACGGGTATGGGCATTCATTTCACGCTATAACGAGTTCCGTTTATTCATTTTTTTTCTTCCTTTTACCTGGTGAAAAGATAGCGTCGTTATGTAGCAGCCTCGAATATATTTTAAACAGGTGGAGAAGTTTTTATGCTTGGTGGAAATCACCATGGAGTTCTTAGTAATCCTGAAAAAATTACTCCAATAAAGCACTTAGCAGGTAATGCCCTTGATCCGACCCAAACAACACTCGCATAAACTTGACATATCTGAATGATCATCGTACATTTGTACTAGAATTGTGATCGCTGCTGATTGCGTGTGTGATTCTTTGCACATCGACAGTCCGATTGTCCCCGACCTCGAACAGATTGTGCAATTGTCACTCTTGGAGCTGAGCACTCTGCTATTGTGACCGAGGATGGAGTGATTAAGACATGGGGTTGGGGTGAACATGGTCAGCTTGGCTTGGGAAATACAGATGAACCAAACGAGTCCTCAAGAAGTGAGTTTCGGCCACAGATTTCGGAAAGAAGCGGACACAATCGAGATTTACTGCGGTAGCGGGTTTACAATTGTCGTAAGAACTTCACGTCGCTGTTCTCAGACAGATTAACAAACCATTTACCCGAGCTTTCGAAACAAGAAGCGCTGCAGAGTGATTGTCGAGATGGAAAACTCCTCATTGAATTCCTTATCACAATTAAAAAATTCGGGTTTTACATGAAAAAGGAAAAAACGACACCATGTTACGTATGAAGCATGACATAAAAGAATCACGAGTTAAAATCTACTGCCTATAATGTTGAATCTGGGGAAGAATTGCTGCTTGTTTTCGATGAATATCCCCTTACGCTTGCTGGGGGACCTCTGTTGTGTGTGTTATGTTATGATCAGGACGTTGTTTTCGTATCCGTTGTTGCGAACAATTGGGCGTAGGGGATCAATCCGCCATTTACCATCGACAATGAACTTGATCTGAAATGCAACATGATGAAAACATTAATCAATGGGGTTCTAACGTTGTAAAGACTCGACCACATAATAACACTATTTACTTGCCTCGTATCTGCCCCGGATACAATTTAAGGCACAAAGAGAAGATTCCTGTACGCGACTTCTCCATCTTTCTCTGCAAGCAACCACCACAGGTAACAACATTTGTATTACAAAAGCAAGTAGAAGACTAAATGCTAAGAAGCATTACCACAAAGTAGTACTAATATTTCCGAAAATGCGGGTAAATGCAAGTATGAATACCTCATGGAACAAAAAAATACATGCGCATGGTAATATAACTGTTAGGAGTCTGTGACATATGGCATATTTCTGTTGGTTCTGTTAGTAATAGTTGGATGAGAGTTAGTTGGGTGGGTTGTTTGTTAGAACTCACTACATATAACGAATTGTAAAGGAAGTTGAGATATGAATGAAATTGTGAATGTTCTATGTTCTCTGTATTCTCTATGTGCAATCTCTCGAAGACGTAGCTAGGTCTTAACATTTGGTATCGAGCCAGACGTTTTGATCCTACCAAATCCTTCGCGTTTGCATGTCGCGCAAGTCATTGCGAAAAACCATGGAAGCTCGCGTTTCCAGTTTGGAGTCGAAATTCGACGACGTCAAGAATTCCCAAGATGAAATCAAGTCGACACTCGCTCAATTGCAATCGATGATGGCACGTTTCGCTGGTGGGTCGATTAGAGAATCATCCGAGGCCACTATGGGCGATCCCCAATTTCAGAATCCGATGAACCCTAATGTTGCTCGTCACGAAATTGGGCAGAATTTCAATTACCAACCACGACCACCGTTTTTTAAGATGGAATTTCCAAGGTTCAATGATGGGGATGATCCGCTGGGATAGATCTACAAGGCTGAGCATTATTTTGATTTCTTCAGTATCGCTGATGCGCAGAAGGTCAAGCTTGCGTCCTTTCACATGGAAGGGGAAGCACTGCAATGGTTCCAATGGGCTCGATGCCTTACCAACTATCCTTCTTGGGTGGAATTTACGAAGATTCTTTGTCACGAATTTGGTCCTTCTGCCATGGAAGATTCTGCTGAAAGCTTAGTCAAGTTACGGCAAAAAGGTACACTCAGAGACTATGTTCTTGAATTTCGGCGGCTGACGAATCGGACAAGAGATATTAGCCTGGAACTTCTTCGTTCTTGCTTTATTGGTAGGTTGAGACTTGAATTACGACATGATGTTAAGCTTCTCCAGCCCAGGAACGTCCTTGAAGCTATTGCTTTGCTCAACAAATTGATGCCAAAATCACAGAATTAAAGGTCAGATATTTCTATAAGCCTCCTGCCCTGCAACCTACTTTTCGTTCTCCTGCACCACAGCACACTACTCCTACTCTTTTCCCTGATACTCATGTGAAGAACAACACTGTTAGGAGACTGACACCGGAGGAGGCAGAACATTGTAGAAAGAATGGGTTATGTTTTCATTGCAAGGAGAAATTTGTTAGAGGTCATATGTGTGAGAAGAAACAATTGCTATTAATTGATGTGCAAGATTCTGTGTTTGACATTGATGAAGAACTGGAAATTCAAGAACTTGAAATAACCGCATGTGCACTTTTTGGTACACCTGCTCCTCCATCTATCAACACTATGAAGGTTTCTGGGTTAATCAAGAACTGTCCTGTGGCTATATTAATTGATTCCAGCAGTTCCCACAACTTTGTGGATTTGGGATTGGTTAAACGATTGCGAACACAATTGGATACTAAACATCTGTTTTCTGTCAAGATTGCGGATAGAGGTCGAGTCGATACAAAAGGCACCTTAGCTCAAGTTTCTGTAAAAATTCAAGATTTCCACTTTCTTACCGATTTATATGCTATTGCCTTGGGGGGTGTGATGTTGTTTTAGGCATTCAATGGTTGAGAACTCTGGGGCCTATTTTGTGGGATTTTGACAAGTTATGTATGCAGTTTTGTAAAGACTCTAGGACCTATTGCATTACATGTCCTGAAAGGGTGGGTTCTAACCTTGAAGATGTTTCAGCTTTGCAAATGCAGAAAATATTACACCAAGATACTACAATGGGTGCAGTCCTATATCACTTGGAATCAGAAACATTGGGTCTACAAAACTTGGAATCACAGACTACAAGTTCAAAATTCTTGAATCTCACAGATCAGCAACAGTATGAGTTGAAAGCATTATTGGCAGGGTTTGACACCATATTTGCAACCCCAACTACACTTCCTCCTCACAGAGTACATGATCATCGAATTCCCTTAAAGAAGGGTAGTACACCACCTAGTAGCAGGCCTTACAGGTATGGTCCAGTGCTAAAAACAGAAATTGAGAAGTGTGTGACGGATCTTTTGGAGGCTGGATTTATTAGAGTAAGCAATAGTCCCTATTACTCTCCAGTTATTTTCGTAAGGAAAAAAGAGGGAACATGGCGAATGTGTATGGATTATGGGGGTCTCAATGGTATCACGATTAAAGATAAGTTTCCTATACCCCTTATTGATGAGTTACTTGATGAGTTGTATGGTGCACAGTTTTTCTCTAAATTGGACTTACGGGCAGGTTACCATCAAATTAGAATGCATCCTGATGATATCGAGAAAACCGCCTTTCGAACACACGATGGTCACTTTGAGTTCTTGGTAATGCCTTTTGGTTTAACAAATGCTCCAGCTACATTTCAGTGTCTTATGAATGATATCTTCAGACCGTATCTCAGGAAATTTATCCTAGTATTCTTCGATGACATACTAGTTTATAGTTCTTCTTGGGATCTGCATTTGAAGCATCTGCGAGTAGTTTTCGAGACACTGGCCAAGCACACTCTATTTGTCAAGATGTCTAAGTGTGCTTTTGGAAGAACTCAAGTGGAATATCTTGGCCACATTGTATCAAAATCTGGAGTTTCAGCCGATCCTACGAAGCTTGAGGCCATAGCTAATTGGCCTATACCTACTTCAGTAAAAGCCTTACAGGGTTTCCTTGGGTTGACAAGTTACTATAGGAAATTTATACCTCAATTTGGGAATATCATTGGTCCTCTCACAGCTCTTACAAAAAAGGATGGTTTTAAGTGGACAAATGAGGCCACTGCAGCCTTCAACACCCTTAAAGAGGCTATGCTTTCCCCACACGTCTTAGCTCTTCCAGATTTTAGTAAGCCATTTGTGATTGAGAGTGATGCATCGGGACATGGTATTAGGGCAATATTACAACAAGAGGGTCGACCAATAGCTTTCACTAGTAAAGCCCTTTGCCCAAGAAATCAATCACTTTCAGCTTATGAGCGGAAAATGTTGGCCATTATTCATGCTGTTCAAAAGTGGCAATCCTACTTGGTGGGCAATCATTTTGTTATTCTCACAGATCACCATAGCTTGAAGTATTTTTTTGAGAGGAGAGCTCATACACCATTCCAACAGAAATGGATCACTAAGTTACTTGGGTTCGACTATGAAATTCAATACAAGAAGGGGTGTGATAACCAAGCTGCTGATGCATTGTCTCGAGTACATTATGATGTGGATCATTCTGCACACTCCAGTGTTCTCAATGCCATCTCATACCCTTACTCTTCTTGGTTAGATGATTTACGGAGGCATGTGGAGAAAGACACTTGGATCATTGCCAAGTCTCAGCAGGTGTTGCAATCTACGGCTGATGATATTCCTCTGACTTCCTTACGGTTCAATGTGGATAATGGATTCTTGAAGTACAAACACAGGATTGTATTGAGTCCATCAAGTTTTTGGTGAGCAAAGGTTTTTGATGAACTTCATTCCAGCCCTGCCGCGGGCCATGAGAGGTTCCTTAAAACATATAATAGGATATCCCGATCATTCTATTGGGAAGGGATGAAGAAGGACATCAGGGAACGGGTCGCAACATGTGCTATATGTCAACAAAATAAGTATGAGACTTTGTCTCCTCATGGTCTCTTACAACCATTACCAATCCCAACTAAAGTGTGGTCTGAAATTTCAATGGATTTTATAAATTCCCTTCCACCCTGTAAGGGTAAAACTGTGATTTGGGTTGTTGTTGACAGATTGTCCAAATATGGCCACTTTCTGGCGTTAAGTCATCCTTATACAGCTTCTCAAATTGCTCAACTTTTTGTTGACAACATATTCAAGTTACATGGTATGCCACAATCCATTGTCAATGATTGGGATCCAATCTTCATGAGCAAGTTTTGGAAAGAGTTCTTCCATTTGCAAGGTTCTGCATTTTGTTTTAGCTCGGGGTATCACCCACAAACCGATGGACAAATTGAA